ACCAGGGCCCCATAACTACAGCACAAATGAGTGTTGGCCCACGTGAAATCTCTGACCAGATGGGGGCTCAGAAGGGCAACGGGCTCTGTGTACCTAAGGCAGTCCCCCAAGGCCCAGGGGCCCCAACAGTGCTGTCACCAGACCTTAGGGAAGAAAGATGAGGGGAAGCCTTAGAGGACTGGGTTTAGCCTGACTGGGCTCTCTGCTTTCCCACCTGGGGCTGCCCTAGGGCCTCACCAGCCTCTGCACCTGCCACCAGCCCTCGCCCCAACCGACTTCAAGTCCTCCTTTAGTCTGGTGTCAAGCTGGAAGCTGGTTGTGCAATCCCAGTGGCCTTGTGCCCAGACACCGTAGTTGGGCTGGGTCTAGCAGAGTGCCTGGCTGCCTCTCAGGGCTTGGGAAGGGGGTGCTCCTGCTTTGGGCCTCTGAGCTCTGGTTGCAGATGGAGGATCCACTGCAGAGCCTCTGGAAGTGTTTGGGTCTGGGCGCCTCTCCTTGTTCGCAAGGGCTGCTACCTGGGTCTTGAGCAACAAATGTTGCTGGCTTCCTTCTCATTTTCATGTCTCAGTTTAAATGTCACTTCCTTGGGAACAATTTTAGAAGCCCCATTATTCTTGCTCAAAGTGCCCTTTGCTTTTTCTGCAGTGTATTTATTACTACTTGTCATCACACTTTTATGGTGTGTGTTTGCATGTATTTTGTGTGTACTTTTTAAAATCAGTGGCATGGTTGGGATTTGAACTCAGGGCTTTGCGCTTGCTAGGCAGGTGCTCTGTCACTTGAACCACACCTCCAGCCCTTTCTTGCTTTAGTTATTTTCCAGACAGGGTGTTGTGCTTTTTCCCTGGGCTGGCCTTGAAACTCTGTCTTCCTATCTCTGCCTCCCAAGTAGCTGGGATTACAAGCATGTACCACTGTTCCCGACTGTTTGTTTGTATGTTAGTATTTCAACCCCCTGGGTGGACTAGAAACTTCCTGAAGGCAGGGCATGTATATAGTTTACTCCTCGTATTTCCAGACTCCAGTCCCCTGCCTGGGACACTGTAGGCATTCCAAAAATATTTGTTGAATGAGAGAAAGGAAGGTTGAATGAATTGTGGATGCCCTTGGGGACACCCTATGTGTTGGGAATTCATAAAGCCACAGAGTGAACCTGGCATCTTTCTGGATCGTCAATTTTATTAGATAGTAAGGAATTAGAAATGTTATATTCACTTATTAGTTGAATATTTTACATTACAAAAGTAATACATGTTCCTTGTCAAAACTCAATCAATAGGCATTATTTTTATATTGAAACAAACCCTGACACATCAGTTTGCCTGACTATTAAAGAGATAAGAGGAGGCTTCAAAGACATTTGCATCCTAAGGGAGCCAGACCACCTGGCATGCAGGCTTGTGGCCCAGGGAGGGTTTGTTGAAATACAGATTGTGGGGGCCTCAACTCTGGAGTTCTGACCTGGTCTGAGGGGGTGACGAGGCCACTCCTGTGGGTTAGGGACCTTCTGGGGGAAGGTCTGAGGAGATCTTGTCAGGCAATTGCAGTGCTGTTGGTGATGGGGCTGCAAAACCCTGGGTGCTGGCTGGGCTCAGGGAGAAGGTAGTGCCTGCTCACTATAGATAATGAGAAGTTTGCTGGCCGGACTCTGGGCAGGGCCTGCAGGACGGACTGCTTTCATGGCAGTGTGGGATGCAGGGAGCATTGGAGATGAGGCATCAGGAAATAACAAAAACAGTTTTAGGAGCCAGGGTGTGTTTACTCCCTGGAGGGTTCCAGGACATGCTGCTCCAGACCATGGCCTTCAGAGTTACAGGGAACTGAGATGGAGGGGTAGGCAAGACACAACGCTCTGAAAGACCAGAAGTAAGAGGGCTCTGCAATGTATGTGCAGACAAGCCCAGAGAGGAATAAAGAAGGTATCTCACAGATCTGGGTTCAAATCCCGGCTCTGCCATTTTTAGTTGTGTGACTTTGGTCAAGTCCTTCCCTCTCTGAGCCTCAGTTTCACCATCTTTAAGGGGCTGATAAGGATCTATTAGGACTTTGCTGTCTGCTCATTGCCATCACCTGGGTAGTGTTTAAAACATCCATGAATCAGGCACCTGGAGAATATCCCCAGCTCCCAGGACACTTGGGAAGTGCTCAGGAGACTGTGCAGGGGCAGAGAGAAGATGGCCCTTCAAAGTGACCAGACCTCAGCCTTAGGATTGGCTCAGCTGAGGAAGCGGTGCCTGTCTCCCAACTGACCCACGACAGGCCCCCCAGGCCCTTGTGCTTTCAACTGAACCACTTCCCTCTTCTGTCTGCTCTTTGCCTGAGTTCCAGCTGTCAGGGACAGGGTGCCAGCACAGTGCACCAGGGGATGTGGCTGCTTTAGGCCCAGTGGGCTTAGGTATGATAGACAGACACAGACCCACAGAGAGAATGACAGGGATAGACAAGCTGATCAGCACCGAGGGACACTGCTATCTCTCTTCCCTGCCTGAACAGATCCAGAAAGAGAGGTTGTTTTATTGCAGCTCAAGTTTGAGCTGCATCAGAAGCTCAAAAGCCCCTGGGAGGAGGGCTTATTGAAACGGTGTTCACCCCTCCCCACCCCCGCACCCTCCCCCCCCAACCCTGGAGTTTCTGTCTCAGCCTGTCTGGGGTGTGCTGAGAAATGTGCAATTGTAACAAATCCCTAGGCAGTGATCCTGGCCCCTGGGATTGCACTTTGAGAAACAATGACTTAGAGGGAGGCCCAGAGAGAAGGAGGCAGCCCAGACATGCACCGTCTCTACTCACGCATGCTTCAAGCCAGAGAAAGAGGGACAGAGACACATGCCCAGGGAGATGACAGATGGTCATGTGAACCCACAGTTCATTCTCTGAGATAAAGTTACTGAGGAGAAAGGAGCTGGAGAGAGACAGGGACCCCAAATTCAGATCCAAGGAAGAGTCCACCAAGGGACAGAGACAGTGACACCTTCCAGGAACCTCAGGAAAGACAAAGGCTGGCTCAAAGAAGATGGGCAGGCATCAGAAATACAGAGAAAGAGAGTAGAGAATAGACAGGCAGGTGGAAATTCAGAGTGAATACAAGGAGTGGAGGATGAGGGGACAGATGGTCCCCTCCAGGGGTGCCAGCACTGGTGTTATCTACTTGATTGCTAAATATTCAGGAAATCTGCCAGCAAGTTGTGAAACCCTTGGGGTCTGAACTTGGCCCCAGTGTGAGTATTAGCCCATGTCAAGCCTTTGGGAGCTACTGTATGGTGGCTTTGTAAGCAGTGACTCCTCTTTGCTGGCCTGGGTTTCGCTAAGATGGGACTTTGCTCTTTGGTTCAAAGGTTAGGCCCTGTCACTTCCTCCAGGAAAGCTTCTGGGTTATTTCACCCATGGTGGCTCCAGCTTCTCAGGCTTTCTGCGGATTTCTCAGGGCTTTGGCTCATGGTTCTCAGTATGATTTTGGGTTAAATGTGGTCCCCTTTTGGCTCTCAGTGTCCCCTTGCATGTAAAATGGATGGGAATGGTGAATGAGCCTTAAGTTTTTTTTCATTCCAAATAATTTCTTTAACTCCCTCTCTCCTGCCCTGTTTTGGAATCACATTCCCTGGTCATATGAAACTTTTTTGAGTGAGAAAATAAACAAAAAAATTAAAATTTAAAAGGGTGAGATAAAAATACAAACAGAATTTAGAACGTGGATATATTTTCCTTTGCTGGGAGACCTCTGCTCTATTTGCTCAGCTTCCTGAGCCACCTCTTGTCTCCTTGTCCCTTGTGCCAGGGGCAGCAGCTTGCGGGTTATATTTACACAGCACTCATTATGAGGTGGGCCTCATGCCAAGAGCCTTACATGAACTGACTCTTTCAAGTGCCTTAATACTCCTCTGAGGTGGGAACCACCATCGTCTCTGCTTTCCAGGTGGGGAGACCGAGGCAAAGAGATAGTGCATAACTTGTGTGTTATCACACAGCCAGTTACCTGGTGTGGCTGGTATTTGAACCCTGATCTGATCACCAAACTCTAGTTAGTGTGCGTTGGAGAGAATTTCTGCCTCTGAGGCTGGGCCCCAGAACCTGCGTGCTCCCAGAAGGTGGAGGCCATGCTCTCTGTTTGCGTGAGAACCTCACACCATTGCTGACCGAGTTCTGTGCCAGGGGTCGTACCCACATTTTCTCACTCCTTTCCCTAGCACCCCCGGCTGGTATTACTATCCTTAAAAATCCTGGGCTTGACAGGCAGTGCCCTCCTCTGGGACCTGGCTGAGCAGGAAGGTGAAATTTACCCATAAACACATTAAGAGATGCATCAGGTTGCCCTAGAAACTAGATTCTAGTTAAGTGCCTGAAAAGTAATTATAAACTCCAGAATATCTTTCAGCCGAGCAGGTGGCTGGAAAATTAGAAATCTATTTCTGAGACACCTTCTGCTTTCCAGAAAGGCTGAGGTTAGTTTGAGGCAGGGCGAGCGCGGGTGGCCTCCGCAGAGCGTGTGCACACAGACAGACAGACAGACAGATGTATGCTCCTGTGTGCCTGCGCGTGGACGGGGTGCAGCCGCCGCGACAAACCGAGGGAGCCGTCAGTCTGGGGGTGTAGCTGGCGTGTCCGCCCTTCCTGGCTCGGTGCAGAGTGGAGGTGGCAAAGCATCTCCTCTCCCGTGTCACCCTCCCCAGAGTCGGGTTGCTAGGACACCGGGGCCCAGGAGAAGCCAGCGGATTTGCCAAACAATTTTTCTTCCAATTACGATTAATTAGACAAAGGGAGAGAGTGCGCACTTTGGTGGTGGCAGAGACGGGTCTAGAGCGTGGAGACCCCGAGGAGTCCCTAGGGCCTGCTGGCTGAGACGCCAGGGGCGCTGGCCCTGGAACGAGCCCTTCTCTGGCATCGTGGCACCCAGCCGGGGGAGGGGACGGAGCGCCCACATTATCAAGTGTCTATCACATGTCAGGCATCGCATCTGCCGAGTCACACTCGCAGCCTCCCTCACGCTCTCGACAGGCTGGGGAGAGAGACTGGCAAGTCCTAAGACGGTCCCTTCACTGCACGCACCCACGATGACAGCACGTCTTCCATCTGTCCCAAAGGCTCTGGCTCCGTCCTTCTCAGCCTTCAGGTGACCACTCTTGCTATTCAACATAGGTCCCGCCCTGCTTCTTCCCCCTGCCCCTTGCTGCTTCCTGTCATGGTGCCCCTTGTGGTTCATAATTATTTTGTCTGTTCACTTGCTTTGTCATCTGTTTTCCCAGCCAGAGCATCAGATGCCTGAGGACAGGGGACAGTGTGTGTCTCACTTGTAGAACACTTCCTAGCACATAAAAGACTCTCAATATATGCCTGTCGTAGAGGTACACGCCTGTAATCCCAGCTTTGCTAAGTAGGAAGATTAGTCAGGGCAAGCAAAAGAAGGCTGAGGGTGTGGCTCAAGTGGTAGAGCGCCTGCTTAGTGAGTGTGAAGCCCTGAGTTCAAACCTTGGTACCCCCAAAGACTGTCAATATTTATTTATTAAATCAGTGGGTAAGATCTGTGTTTTATCAACAGGAAGCCGAGGTTCCTCCCTAAGGTCTGTGGCTAAGTGGTAGAGGTGGGCCTGGGCCCGGTGTTGATGCCACACCCAAGCTGGTTTCCTCCCATGGCATCTGACTGCCTGTGGCTAGTGGCAGCCTCACCTGGGACCCTGTCTCCAAAGAGGCCAGCATGAGAGGGCAGGGCACAGGGGATTACAAGGGATGGCAGTATGGGAGCAGAACCTAGTGGTCCCTACAGTCCGCCTGCTTGGGCACAAATTTCACCTCTTCCAATCACTAGCTTTGTGACCCTGCCTAGGCCTCAGTGTTCCTGTCTTTAATGTGGGATGACAACAAAAAACCTCTTGTGAGGATATAGAGAGACAACCAATTTGGAATGTTTAGAACGGTGCCTGGCCTGCAGGAAACACCCGTGCCAACCTAAGTTATAGAAGCAGCTGGGCGACAAAGTGCTTTGATCCCACTTGAGTCTGTAACACATCAAAGGCTCCTTGCAGCTCTTTGGGTGCCTGATATAAATTATCCATCCATTCTGGCATCTGAGCCTCACCCCCCACCCTCTTTTTATTGTGTTGGGCTGGAACCTGGGATCCAGATAAGCAAGTGCCCTACTGCTAAGCTATATCTCCAGACCCAGAGGCCCCCAATTCTCAATAGTGCTAGAGAGATGGGCAGTTGCAGGAGGCTCACATATGTGAATGAGCCTTGTGGAGTGTCTGGCACATAGTAGGTGTTTAATAAAATGCCAGTCGAGCCACTCCTGTGATAGCCAGGCTGAATGCCTAACTGATGATTGAAACTCTCCACCTGAGGGTGCCAAGGTCCCTCAAATGCAATCATAAAAATAGCTTCTGAGTGGTTTTTATGCGTCAGGCACTAAATTACTTATAGATCAATATTCTGCATTTGGCTATAAGCTCCATGGAGATAGTCACTTCTTGTCTTTTTCATGCACATAGTTGCATTCAATACACACTTGTTGAATGAATTAATGACCTCATTTAATTTTCCCCAGTAACTTTATAAGATAGGTGTTTTTATTCTCATTTTATGAAAACTAAAGGTAAGAAAGGAAAAGTATCTGCTCAAGGTCACAAGTTAGCAGTGGTAGCGCCAATGCCAAGGCCCCTGCCTTAAACTACTACTTGCTCTTGACCTCCAAACTCTGCTAGCTTAAACTTGACTTACCATCCTCTCGGCTCCCCTTTGTTCCATTACTAGCCTGCCCCAAATGAAAAAGTGAAGAGTAAACGCCCAGCCCCATGCCTCTTTTTGCTCCCTGTCTCAATGAACGATCCTATCCCAGTAACTCCTCCATACTTGTTCTGCTCTGTATCAAGAGCTATATTTGAAAAACTGTTATGAAATTATGTCACTTGCCTGCTCCAGTGGCTTCCCATGACTTGGAGTGATGTCTAAGGCCATTAGCATGGTTCACACACCAGATGATCTGGTCGCTGCTCTCCATCCCACCCTTATCTTCTACCCTTCTCCTCTCTGCTCACTTCTCACTCTTCTCCAGCCATGCTTCCATTTGCAAGCTGATCAAGGTCATTCCCACCCCAGGACTTTGCAATTGTAGTGCCTTTGGTGTATATGGTGGACAAAAGCTGACCACTGATTACTTGCCTCTCTTTTCACAGAGGTGGAGTCCATTTCTCTGCCCTCTGGATTCTGGGCTGGCCTACGATCGATTGAACCAATACCAAGTGGGAGAAGTGATGCTGTGGACTGGCAGCTTCTGTTTCCTGCCTTTTGCAACTCAGTTGCCACACTGTGAGGAAGCTCACGCAGCCCCGTGGACGTCCTTATAGAGGTTGGCTGACCCTCTAAGCTGATGGTCCAGGTGAGTTCCCAGCTGCCAGTTGGATCAACTGGAAGATCATGTGAGTGGGCCTTGTTGGAAGTGCATTCTCCTGTCTCAGCTGAGCCGTCTCAACTGATGCCCACCAACCTCTGCCCAAACAACAAAATTGAGAGCAGATAAATGGTTGTTTTAAGGCAGTAGGCTTGTGGGTGGTTTGTTATGCAGACAAGGTTCATCCACATAGTCTGATGCCCTTGCCTCCCATCTTTGCCTGCTCGCTTGTCATCCATCTAGTCACCCCCTTACCTTCCCCGACCACCCAATCTAAGGGAATCCTTCCCTGTGGCTAGCAACTTCTTAGCATGTCACCCTCTCTTACTTTTAAGTGTTTGAAATTATCCTTTCTGTCTAACTCATTTATTATCTGTCTCTTCCCATCGAAATGAACCTTCCAGAGGAGAGGCCTGTCTGCCTGTTCCCTGCTGCTCCCCAGGGCCAGAGAGGCACCTGCACAAAGTAGGCCTTAAAAACTATTTGTTGGGCTCATCACCCTCACATCTGTTTTGGGTCCTGCATTAGTTTCCTATTGGTGTTGTAACAAATGATCACAAACGTGGTTTAAAGCGGTAACACCCTTATTATCTTACAGTTCTGTATGTCAGAGACATAAGATGGGCCAGCAGGCTGAGTTCCTTCTGCCGTCTTGATATTGCTAGCTTGTAGAAGCTTCCCACATTCCTTGGATTGTGGTCCTGCCTCACTCTGACTTCTGCATCTGCCATAATATCTTCTTTGACTCTGGGCCCCTGCCTTTCTCTTATGATGTCTCTGTGTGATGACATTAGGTCACCCAGGTGGCACAGAGTAACCTCCCCCTTTGCAAGATCCTTAACTTAATCCCATCTGCAAGGCCTCTTTTGGAAAGCTTTATAAGGGAAGACTCAGAAATTCCAGGGATTAAAACATTGGCATCGTGTGTGTGTGTGTGTGTGTGTGTGTGTGTGCGTGTGTGTGAGTGTGTTGTGTTGTGGGGGGGAGGACAACTGTTACTCTGCCTACTACAGATCTGCTGCCCATCGATCCTTCTCAGTGATTTACTCTCTGCCTACTGCCTTCCTCCTCCCCACTGCCCCATGCCCTCACAGGCTTCCTAACATCCAGGGGGCGCCTTAATGGCCCATGGCTTCTCTGTCTACATAGTTCTTAACCATGAGATCTGGGAGTGAGAAGAGGATTCTGCAACTTTTAAAAATGCAATATCCTGGTGTTCTGGTACACTGCATTGTTGTTAAATACTGAGACACTGGCAATTTTTGTGAATGTATGTGTTATTTCTGTGTTTAAAGAGGATCTGAAACAAGGGTGTCTGAGGTCCACCCAGAGAGCTCTATGCTGCATTAAGATTTCCAGTTGAGCAAAAGCGCTCTGGTTTGGAAAGCATTCTTGAGTACATTTTGGTCCTCTGCGAGACCTTCTGAGGTTTCTCACTGTGGCTTTAATTCCCACACCCTAGGTAATAATGAGGATGAGCGGGAGCGTGTCTTTCCTGTGTTTGTCACTGGTATCTCCTTTAGAGTTTTGTGAATCTCTGTTGGGATCTGCCTAGAATCAGGGAGGACTTTAAAGAAAATGGGAAGGAGGTTTGGTGAGGGGACTTAGAAGAAGGGGTCAAGGTATAGGAGAGTCCCCAGTCATTCTCCAATCTCTTTACCAATTCATTACATAAACCCACAGGATGTGCCGCTCACCATCCTAAGAACTTTATAAATACTAATGAATTTATTCCCCAGAGTAACTCATTGAAGGGGGTGCTATCATTACCTCTGTTTCAAACATAAGGGCACAGAGAGGATGAAAAACTTGCTCAAGGTCACACAGCTGGGATTGGACCCAGGCACTTTGGCATCAGATCCCATTGTGAGTTTCCCATAGCACAATGTTGCATTTTGCCTGGTGGCTAAATTCTTCCTACTTTTCCCTTCTTCTTCCTGTAGAACCATCTCCTTCCTGCTCCTTCCATCAGACCATTTCTTTCCCTCTCATCCTACCTTGAGATACTGCAGCCAGGAGGGTGGAGGAAGCTCAGTTTTGACCATGGACTTGTGTGGTTCAGTGGCTGATCATAGCCAGCTTTTAACAATATGTTACATTTTGTTATCAAGTAAACTAATGACTGAAATACAACCATTGATTGTTTTGCTATAGAATTGCAGCCACAAGGGCAGAACCAGAGCCTAGTCAATCCTTGGACCATCTGGGCAGTGACTGGCGATACCATGTATAAGGACTTTCAGACACCTTTGGAATGAATTGAGAACAAGTTGAGGTTTGCACACAAGACTGTCATGTAAATGAGTCTCACTCCTGCTAAGGCAGGGACACTGCCACAGGGAACACTGCACAGCATCTTGGACGTGCATCACTCCTTCCACTCCTGACAGCAGTTCTCTGAAGCACGTGCATCTGACAGATGAGGACGCTGAGGCTCAGGGAGGCCCAGAGTGACATCTAATAAGAAATGGAGATGGGGTGGGAAGCTGGGATTTCTGGTGTCCAGGGTTTGTGCTTTTCATGTATTGGCTTTGCTGCCTTCAAAGTGATGGATCGAGGTGGTGAGGACATGCTGAAGATATGGCCCCTAACATTCCTCCTGTCCTCTGCCTCTCATGGCCAAGGTGGGTGAAACAGTCTGCAGTGGACTCAGGTCTGTGGCCACTAAGGGCCTGCCTGTCCCAGAGGCACAGACATGACTGGGAGAAAGGGGAAAAGAGCATGACGAGATGGCTTCAAGAAGCCACATGGAAGGGCACATCTCCTTTTATGACTGTGTGCACATGTATGAGTTTATTCAACAAATATTTTCTGAACCACTACTGTGTGCCAGATACCATGCTGGGCCCAGAGTCCACGTTGGTGAATAGAAGAGATATTATCTCACCTTTCTAAGATACAATGTGGAACAGCATTGTCTCAGAGAACTTTCTGGAAGATGGAAATGATTGTACTGCCTGAGAGTAATCACCAGCCACGTGTGTCCCCTTGAAATGTGGCTAGAGCAGCTATAGGACTGAATTCTTAGTTTTAGTTAATTTTATTCAATTTAAATAGCTACACATGGCTAGTGGCTACTCTATTGAACACTCCATGTTTAGAGAGAAGATAGAAAATAAGCATAAATGATTATGGTGGACTGGGGGCATGGCTCAAATGGTAGAGTGCCTGTCTATTTTTAAGTGCAAGGCTCTGAGGTTCGAATCCCAGTACCACCAAAGAAAACCCCCCCAAACCAGAAACTTAGAAATGCTATGGTGATAAGTGCTATGCCGGAAACAAGATATATATACATAAGAGTAATGGAGAGAGTCCTATTTGAATTGGGTAATCAGGGAAGACCTCTCCGAGGAGGTGACAATTCAAGCAACCTGGAGGATGAATGTGGACATAGCATCTCAGGCTGAGGGAACAGTGAGTGTGTGGAGAGGGAGGGTTATGTCTGAGACAGGGAGAAGTCAGTATGGAGCCAGTAGTGGACAGAGAGGAGCATGGGTCTCCTCTCTGTAGGCTTGGGTAAGGAGTTTGCATTCATCAAAGTGCAGCAAAACCATGGAAGGGTCTTTTGCTTTGACTGCCCTGTGGACAGTGGGTTCTCAGTGGCTATAGTGGCAGTGAAGAATCAGGGAGGGACTGAAGCAAGGTTCCAGGCAGGGGGTTGGTGGCATGGTTGTGGAATGATGGCTTTGAAAATGTGATTGCATTCAATACATATTTTGGAGGCAAAAAATTGTCAGGCTTTGCAGAGAGCCTGGATATGGAGGGCAAGGACAATGATGGAATCAAGGGTGGTGTGCAGAATGGTGGCCTGAACTACTCGGCAAATGGCAGCACCATTTTAAAAGAAGGGAATGTTACAAAAATGAATGCAGTGGGGGTGATCTAACCAATGTACAAAATAAGCCTATCTGGAATTGTCACAATGAATCCCCCCCATATTACAAATATATCCTAATAAAAAAAAGATGAAAAAAATTAATGCCGACTGTTGGATGGCCATCCAGATGGTTGCTGAAGTCAGAGGAATGCCGGGTGTTTGTTGATTACGTTGTATCTCTGTGGGCTGAGTATCTGCGCACACTCCACTCCATGTGGGCGAGTATGCAATGATGGTTGTGCACATCTTTGCTTTGGGGAAAGTCAATGCATACATCTGCTGTGGGATGAGTGTGTGTACATATGAATGTCTATATTTTGGATGAGCATGTATGAATGTGTACACACACCCGTGTAGCTGTGGGTGGGATCCGTGTGTGAGCATGACCATCTGTGTGTTCTTCAGTGGGGTGAGAATGTCTACCTCTGATCCAGGCTAAGCCTGGGGCTATTTATCTCTATGAGATATATGTAAATGAGGAGATGAGTGTGTGTGTGTGTGTTTGTGTGTGTGTGCGTGCGCATGCAGGGTGAGACTGGGTACATGTTTGTGAGGTGACCATGTGCAAATCTGTGTGCATAAATAGGTGCAGAAAACACTTAGATTTATGCACAAGGGTGGGGTTGCATATTGTTGCATGAACCCTCCTTTGTGAGTGTTTGAGTAGGGTCTGTGTATGCATACTTCCTTGGGGGATCATGAGCACAGGTCTGTCCCCAGGTGTGGAAAGAGAGTGTTCTGGGGATGGGTATGTATGGGTGTGTGTACCCACCTGTGTGCACTGAACGTGCCTGCCTGTGCCCTCTGGGGTTCCTGTGCCTGCAAGTCACAGAGGCAGCAGCTTGCAGAGCATGTTATGACATGTTTATAGGTTTCTCAACCTTAATGCATTTTAAATTTCCAACCCAAGGCGATCCCAGTGGATTGCAGAGCCATTTGTTTCTTGCTCTGCTTTAAAAAGAAAGTTTCCAGAGTGAGGGCCCTTTGCCTCCAGTCTGGCAGTTCTACTTGATTCTCTTGGATGTAGATCGAAGGTGGACCCAGATGTGGGATCCAAAACAGTGTGGATGGGACATTGAAAGTGGTGAGGAGTGTGGTAAGGGAGGAGTGT